TATTTGAAACGTCTCACACAATCGTTCGTTGTTTAGGTTTATATTACAACAAATATAATATTAATTATTAATCAATCAATCAATCAAATTTTATTTGTATAGCGCCTTACAACAGCCAAAAGGTGCACAAGGCGCTTTCCAGTAAAAGCATCAATAGACAACAGAAAAAAAAGGGGAAGAACAAAACAAAACACAAAAATAAGCCAGAGTTGAAGATTACATGTTAAAAGCTTGTCTGAACAGATATGTTTTTAACTGTGATTTAAAAGCACCCAGCACAGTGAAATACAAAAAAACACTCAGCAATGTGATTATTTTAGTGAGTGATAAGGATAAATTAGTGACATTGTTACTAGATTTTCTATCCGGGGTCTTCCCATCACCTCCTCAACCTATCTACAATCTATAGTGTTTTTACACATAGACAAGGCAAAATTGTATTACATTGTCCAGTTTTCTCCCTGAACGATCATGTGAGTTCCTATGGCAATTCTCAATTCAGCATGAACGATGTACAATGGCGACATTTTTCACAATCACAACAGAAAATCAAAATACTGCCACAAACTCACTTGCAGAAAGGCAGTCCGATATAAACAAACCAGACCAGAACTCAACACAGTGTGGCGTTTCTGAACTAAGATATTTACGTGTATTGTTAACTGAATGTTTCCTCTGTTCACTCATCAAAATGTAGTCAATCTGGACTCTGGTGACCCTACCTGGGCTTCTAAATGTGTATCTTTGTTTTTTAATAGACAGAAACTGGTGTTGGTGATCATCAGATGCTCAGCACAGATGTTTACCAATGCAATACCTGACCCCATTCATGTTTGTCACCATGCCCATGTTTTCACACTTCCTTCAGCATTTTCTCCAACTCTGTTTGGAAGTCTCTGCAGATAATTTCTCTTATTAACTGTTCATCAGGTTTGTCAGCCGATGGAGCATGGCAATCCATTTCTGTTACATTTATTGGTTTTGAGGCAAATGTAGCAGAGATTATTCTGCCATACTCACTGGGTTATAAGATGTAAAACAAAGGGTAGAAGAATTATTGACCCAAATGGCAACTTAACATGCGATTTGTTTTGTTTTGTTTTTCTTTTCTTACAATAGGCCTCACACACAAAAAACTTTCCTCCAAAGTCTACACATTTTTGAACAGTAAATGACCATATAGTTCTAAAGACAGAGGGGACCTTTAAAGAAAAAGAAAACACATTTATTTTCATCATTATTCCAATGCCCAGAACTTCTTACCATGTCCTTTGAAGTTAAACAAATAAAAGCTAGTCAGCTGTGACTTAAAGAGCAAAGAGAAGAGAACTTGCCCATACTGGATGGGAATGCGTTATATTTAAAAGTTAAGTACATATAATCATGGGGTTAGTGAAATGTACCCTTACATCTATTTTTCTGTCTACCACTGATAAACACCTTGGCACATGTGTTTATATAGAGTGCCTGACAATCTGCTGTCTGAAATCTACAGCCATTACTTAATACATGAACATTAATTAAATTGTACACACAAGACTGACTAACTAAATGCATGTATTTAGTGTTCAATTAAGGCAAACTCTCTCATCACATTTCTACAGGAAATACAGTGGAAGAAAAATATTTCTAGAAAATATGTCTAAAATTAATTCAAATTGCACAGTTGCACTTGAGTTGAACTACAGGGTTCTCAACTCGTTATTAAGGATTTAACATTTTATGAAAGTTCTCAAGAGCACCATGTGCTTTCTGTTTTTTTTTTTTATAGAAATGAAGTGAATTTGAAATGTAAAAAACAATATTGCTTCATTGTGTTTTGAAGTGTTTTCCATTAGTCCTACATAATAACTACCTACTGATTAGCCTACAATTATTGTTATTTTCCACAAATTAGTGTTTTAAAAAATATATTATTATGACAAATATGAGATCACATTTAGAAAAAAGAGGCATTATTGACAAACTAACTAACCAAAGAATATAAAGATTGACACTTCCTCAGTTATATATTTTTGTCATGCTGACAAAACATCTGGAAACCACTTTTGGCTTTCATATGACTATCAGCCATCTGTGAAAAGGCTGTATAGTGAGCTGTCTTTACCACGTGGATTTGACAGTGAAGTTTTGCAATATATTACAACTATTTCACAATAAACACCCTTTTTAACCTTATGCATTTGAGGCTGCATAACATTAGTCAGAATTAAAAAGCCACAGTTTATTCATGCTAAAATCGTCAACATTAGCACATAGACAACACCAAATAGAAAAGGCTCCTTAAGGCAACAATTGCAAGTTACCATTTTTTATACAGACATGAGCCTATCATTATCCATCTGATTTATGTTAATAGATTACCCTAAAATACGAAATATATAGCACAATGTTTTTGCTTCATCATATCAAAACATACACATATCATTTATCAATTATCTTTAACATTCATGTATTCTCTTTAACAACTTCCTTAGAACATGTCACGTAACAGTTTCCACAACCTTATTACTACTTCCTCATACAGTTTAAGTCAGCCTTAATATTATTTATATGCATACAACCGTTATTAACCCCCAATATCTTACACAACACACACCAACTTTGAGAACATCATGTTTTGAAATATAGCTTTTACAATCTGTGTTGCCTACCACTTTCACAGTAAGTCAACTAACAGCCAAATAATTTATTACATCATCTTGACAACAGCTAAACTTTTATAGATAAAAGTTTAATAAAGTGCTACTCCTTATAAATTTACTTAGAAATTCAAATAAAAACAATATGTAACCCCAATGAAGATAACAGTGAATAAACACCGCAAACCACAGACATTAGCCTACAAAACATAATTTGTGGTTCGATAGAGAAGGATAAATCTTGAGATGGATGATCAGAGTAAAATAGTTGCCCAAATAAGGCGAGAGAGAGTCTAGATTGATCAATTTTAGATCCTATGGTATGAGCACGTTCTATAATAGGCCTACTATAAAAACTATAATACTATTTCTATATATTAAATTCTATATAAACTGTTGAGGAACAAGACTGCAATATTAATTTCCTTTATATAGTCTTGTTTGTTCACGAACAGGAAAGCAATCAGAAATAGAACGATAGAGGGCGACCGAGTCGCCAAGAAAATAAGATGATGTGTTGCTGCCATCTGCAGGTATAATGTGGTGATTAGAAAAAAAAAAAAAACCCGGGATTGTTCTCAACCCAATTTGAAGACCATAAACCAACAATGTTCATACCTAACCATCAAAAAATAAATAAATAAATAAATAATAATAATAATAATAATAATAAATTAATAAAATATCACCTCTGGACCTTCAAAAGCCAAAATTAGCATTGTCCAGATAAACCACAGCCTATAAAGATTTTAATCTCTGACATACTCAGAACTCGCCAATGGTCAGTTTAACTGAGCAAGCCTTCTCCTGCCTCTTATTTCGCATCGGGGAACATTCTTTATTTTACTGTCTATATAACATTTCAGAAAGTAACACTGCAGTTAATTAGAAGACCTACATTGGCTTAATAACATTGTTGAATGATGAGTCAGAAACCCTGTGCACATGACATGCTCGATTAATTAAAATTACGTTTAAAAAATAGTCAAGAACATCAGAGGACCAGGTAGACAAAAATTCACATTGATCTCTGGAGATCACAACACTGTAGCCTTCCACAAGAGGTCGACATTCTGTTTTCTGAAATAGAAATACAGGCAGGGGAGTGGTGGGATAAAATTGTGAAGCACAGACTAGCTGTATAGTTATGTTTTGCTTTGTGTTTGCTGTCAAACTCAAAAATGATTTGATTTAAAAAAAATTTTTTTTTTTAAAATGCCATTATTTTACATGAAAAAGTTAATAATTAATTTTTTTAGAGAAAACATTTCAGTTTTTCTTGTATATATATATTTTTTGATAAGATAACATTTAATCTGTCTCATGGTCATTTTATATGCCCCTCAAATGTTACAATGTAGGCTACCCCACCTATAGGGCATGTTGTCACACTTGACTTCCATTCTTTCAAGGAAAATCAAGAAAAAAAAAGTATAAAACTGTAATGAAATAGAACTGTTAGTTAGCTCACTACTTCTATATCAACCCTGTATTCTCAAAATGGTTCTTTGTTAATTTAGGGTTTTTTGTTTTTCAAATCTGTAAATGTTAAATCATGTTATGTAACCTTATAAAAAGGGTTCTAATTAGAATAAAAAATGGTGATGTCCGCGCGAGGGGTCATCTCTGAAATGGCCGCCCGAGGGGTCGTCTCTGTCATGGCCGCCCGAAAGGACATCTCCGCCATGGTCGCATGCTCATCCTAACCCTGAACCTATTCATCACAGAAATCTTTCTGCATATTTAGATTTTCAAAAAACATAATTTAGAGTGATTTATAAGCTGTTTTCCTCACGGGACCAAAAAATCTCCACACAACGGTTACAGATATTGCCATTGTTGTTATTTTGTTCCCATAATGTAGGGTTTACCTGAAACACACACACACACGCACTGGGCTTTCATGCTTTATGGGGACTTTCCATTATGATTTTTATTCTGTATATTATATCCCCAATATATATATATATATATATATATATATAAACCTAAAAGAGAAATAGTGCAAAAAAATTGTGTGATAAATGATCAACAGCATGCACACCTTGGGAACCATGACTATTCCCTAAGATACTGAACCTTAACCAAGATATTACTGTAAAACCTTCAATTTATGACGTTCCTTCTGCAAGCCTCACATACCCAACAGTAAACGCAATAAGAAGAGTACCGAGTTGTGACGTATATTATTTGAGTCATGGATGGAAGTCCTTGAGGGAGGCGTGCTCTGAGCAGCGTAAGGCACATTTGCAGCTCATTACACATCAAGGGTGTTCCCTGAGCTCAGATACAGCCTATAAGTTTGAGGTCCTGAAAGAACAGTTAGATCTAGAGGAGAGTGGGTTCAGGAAAGGTTGAATAAATCTGGCTAAAGATTTGTCCGAATAGGTATGTTAAAAACAGCTTATTGATTTTAATTCTATACTATTTATTATGTGCAATTTTACACATTATATCATGTGTAATTAAAACTAAATAATTAAGTAATTAAATCATTTTTAGTTCTTTTCATTTTTCATTATTTCTAGCAATTTGATAATAAAATGGACATTAAGCCAGTATTAAGGAGATTTGGCTCTCTGGTCCGAGCCATTCTCACATTTCTTTTTGCTCTCCTGGTCATTGGGGTGATGTTATGGGCGTACATTAAAGGTTTTGAGATAGTTACATCTCCATACAACATCATCTCATTTGGTTTCTATGGACTGCTGCTAAGCTTCCACGTCCTAATTCAGAGCCTTTTTGCCTTTGTGGAGCATCGGCGCATGCATGCAAGACGCAATCCTTGCTCTTTCACAAAATCCATTGGCTTTACTATATCAGCCTTTCAGGAGGACCCTGCCTATCTCCGTGAGTGCCTTCTGTCTGTACGGGCTCTGCAGTACCCAACTGAGCTGCTACGCATTGTCATGGTGGTGGACGGAAACTCTGAAGATGACCGCTACATGATGGAGATGTTCCGGGAGGTCTTTGCGGACCAGGACCCTGGCTGTTATATATGGCAAAACAACTACCACTCTTGGAACCCAGAAGGAAATGATGGGGTGATGTTTGAAGACCCCCAGCGCTTAGAGGTTGAAGAACTCATTAGGACCAAGAAGTGTGTTTGCATCATGCAAAAATGGGGAGGAAAGAGGGAAGTGATGTATACAGCATTCAAGTCACTAGGATCCTCTGTGGATTATATACAGGTTAGTGATATTTACAAGCACTTACACTAAGAACAAATTGAGCATTGGATTTTAGGGTAATAAATATGTAAAAAATACTCCATCATTATTCTACTTTTTGTAATCAGGTATGTGACTCGGACACAAAATTAGACCCTCTGGCCACAGTGGAGCTCTGCAAGGTGCTGGAGAGTAACCAGAAATACGGTGCCGTGGGAGGCGACGTGATGATCCTTAACCTTAAAGACTCTTATATCAGCTTCATGAGCAGCCTGCGCTACTGGATGGCGTTTAATATTGAGAGGTCCTGCCAGTCCTTCTTTGACTGTGTCTCCTGTATCAGTGGCCCCTTAGGTATGTAATACAAAACCTTCAAGTGTATATGAAACAAAATTGACGCTATGTACTATGTATAAATGCATGTTCTTGGTCTTATACTGGATGAGTCATCGGTGCAGCTTATTTCAAATAAAAAAGTTTGTCTTTATATTGTGTCTTTATAAGAAAAAAATTGGTTCTTTTAGAAACTTTTCACTGACAGACAGGTTCTTAGGGGAACTAAAATGGTATTGTTTTTTTGTATTTTTAATGTATTTTTAAGAGTGTAGCATGAATAAAATGGTTTTTAAATAAGTATTTAAACTATCTTTGGCTCACTCGGAGCACCGATTACTAGGGCTGTCAAACGATTAATCGCGATTAATCGCATCCAAAATAAAAGTTTGTGTTTACATAATATATGTGGGTGCAGTGTGTATAATTATTTTATATATATATATAAAAACACACACATGCTTGTTTATATTTAAGAAATATTTTCATGCATATACTGTACATATATTTATATAAATATAAATATTTTATATATAAATAATATTTTTTCTTAAATATACCTGCATGTGTGTGTATTTATAAATATACAAAATAATTATACACAGTGCACCCACATATATTATGTAAACACAAACTTTTATTTTGGATGCGATTAATCGCGATTAATCGTTTGACAGCCCTAACGATTACTCAGTTCTCAACTGATCTAACCAAGTAGACGTATTTTTGTTACTCTGATCTAAGTTGTAATATTTTGTCTGTATGAATAATTGCATTTGATTATCTTCACTTCAGGTCTTTATAGGAATGACCTCCTCCAGCAGTTTTTGGAATCCTGGTACAACCAGAAATTTCTTGGCACCCACTGCACTTTTGGGGATGACCGCCATCTCACCAATCGAATGCTAAGCATGGGCTATGCTACAAAGTAAGTAGTTACTGTGGCCAAATATGATTCACCATTGATGATTTAGAAGTAAAATTGCCAAGTGATCGTCCTCTATAATGAGCATAACATTATTTTCCTGTGAAAAACTGCAGGCCTCCTATTCAAACAGACATGTTTTAACGGTGAGTTTCTGTTCCTATAAGGTATACTGCCCGTTCTAAGTGCTATACCGAGACTCCCGCCCAGTTTCTGCGCTGGCTCAATCAGCAGACGCGTTGGACCAAATCCTACTTTCGTGAATGGCTCTACAATGCTATGTGGTGGCACAAGCATAACCTGTGGATGACCTACGAATCCATCGTCTCAGGCATTTTTCCTTTTTTTGTCACTGGCACCATTATCAAGCTCTTCTGGACAGGCACTCTGTGGGACATTTTGTGGGTTTTGTGCTGCATCCAGTTGATTGGTCTGATAAAGGCAGCCTATGCCTGCATCCTACGACAAAACGCAGTGATGCTTTTCATGTCCTTATACTCTGCCCTCTACATGACCAGCCTCCTGCCCGCCAAATACTTTGCCATTATCACCATGAATAAAAGCAGCTGGGGGACATCGGGTCGTCGTAAGATGGTGGGGAACTACATTCCCCTGGCACCCCTTTCAGTGTGGGCAGCCATCTTGTTGGGAGGCCTAGGGTACACGATTTACAGGGAATGCAATGAGAAGTGGACAACAGATGGAAAAAAAGAAGAGATCAAGTTTTTGATATTTGGATCTGCAGCTTATGTGTGCTACTGGCTTGTAATGATCTGCCTCTATTGGATGTGGTTTCGGAGATTATTACGAAAACGTTCACAGAGTTACACTGTTAATGTATAAGACAATTATTTGAGCACATTTTTATTTATTTAAGAAAACTTGCACTTTTTCATGGTCTTCATGCAACTTTATTTATAGATTATTTTTAAACTTGCAATTTAATTTGTGATTTTGTGTGTGTGTGTGTGTGTGTGTGTTAGTGTTGCACGTGATATAATGTACATTAATACCATGAATTTAGAAATCAGAAATTATGTGGAATCTACTTATCTTTATGAAATACAATGACTGTATTAAATGTGCAGAAAGCAATAGTAAACATTTGATGCTGTAAGGTTTTAAATTAAACAAATGTAGCAGTGAACCTCAATATTACAGATGTTATTTTAAGTAAGAGAATTGTAACATATTACTTTACTTCATTGAGCTTACTGAAGTGATATTGATTTATTGTTGAGATAACTGAGGAAACACTAAGACATTCTGTTACAACACTTGTTTAGACATTATTTAAAGAATGCTGATAAAAGATATATGCTGACATAGTGAACAGCACTGACCATGTGCTGCTGATGATGTATTAGCATTTGTTATTATCAGAATGACTAACACAAATCTGACATAATTATTTATTAATAAATGTTTTAATTATTAACACAAATACACTCTAAAAAATGCTGGGTTGTTTTAACCCAATTTTGGGTAAAATATGGACAAACCCAGCCATTGGGTTACATTTTTAAATTATATTTTTAACCCAATTGGCTGGGTTTGTCCATATTTTACCCAAAATTGGGTTAAAACAACCCAGCATTTTTTAGAGTGTATTTCATGAGAAAAAATTGTGATATGTGCTGATTTTACAATGCTTGTAATTCTTTCTGATGTCATGTGACAGGGCATTTTGTTGTCTTTAAGCTCTTATGATGAGAGTATTGAGTCAGTATATTTATTGCCAGAACTATTTTGTAAATGTGAACTCAAAAAATATTTGTTATTAAAACAAAACAAGAGAATAAATTATTTTTTAAAAGGAAACCTTGCTGAACTTATTTCAAGCATTGCTTTGACATTTGTTGAAAAATAGTTTGTTTACTTTGATGGACAAACAAATAGTAAAGTATAGCTACAAGCAGCAATTAACGGAGTTCAAGTGCTTTAATGCTTTAAATCATCTGTATAAAAAGGTATTATGATTTATTTAGCAAGTCCGGTACCACCAAGATCCTAGAAAATACCATTTACAGCCAAAACAGGCAATTTACTAAGGAAATATATGTTTTAAAGCTTTTTTAGTTGGGCTCTCGTCTGAGACGAGCCAGTGCACATTGGCATGCGAGATTTGCATCGTGCAAAAAGGTATATAAGAATGAGCGCGTGCAATCGGAATGTTCAAGCTTTAACGTCAGTGGTGGTCGCCATTTAAAGGGACATTGCACCCTAAAAGAGCATTTTCGCTTAAAATACAAATTCCTGTGCACACTGCAGGCTTCCAACAGTCTGCAAGTCGTGCTGTGACCAACACAATAAAAGAGCTATTTCCCTAAAAAAGTATGCACGTTGTGACACTGCCTCTTTTTAAAGATGTTATTCCATATCCGTGTTTTTCTGGATGCAGTCATTTCCTGGCTCCGTCTGACAGTCACAATCTTCATGTGTCTGGGCTTAAAGCATGCTGAGGTGGCTTTCGTGGATGAGTTATGTACCCACTGTGGGAAGATGACCATCGCTGTGCTGTGGTCGAGATTCCATTACATAAAAGTCCCCTCTGCTATGCCCCAAACAAGTTCCTCTGCTAGGGATCAGAGTGGGGGGCTTACCCTCCGAGCCAATCTCCGTAGAGCCAACGGGGACTTAGAGATCCCCCCTTGGTGGAGCATGGTTGCGATTTCAATTGTTTCCACAAAGGGCTGTAGGCGCACTGCTCCCTACTCCCTGAACACGGTATATCAGTTGAAGTGGACTTGAAGTGGAAGTAATGTAACGATGTTCCCTTGTTCCCTATGCCGTTTGCAGTGTCCTTCGAACTGAACATGTTCGTTCCCTTCGAATTGGAATCTCACTTAAGATGGCGAAAAACCTGTGAAGTCCACTTCGAAAGTCCATTTACGGTCGAATGGAACGCAATATGTGTCTGGCGGGGTAATCCGTGTCTCCCATCCAAGGCCTGAGAGTTCTCGTCCGTGCTTACTGCCAAGGTTTACAGAGCCCTAGCTTTGTTCTCTCCCATTTGTACTTTGTGCTTATACGGGGACCAAACGCAGAGATTCAGGACCTCAGAACAGCTGAGACAGACAGAAAACCAAAACCCAGCGCATTCGGGACTTTTTACAACCTTCATGTAGAGCCTGTGTTCTCCCATGTACTCACCTCAGTAGCCAGTAGATGCTGGAGACCCGCTCTATGTCTCGCTTGCGGCACCATTTCCCTCCTAGCAGCTGATACGTGCGCTTATTTCCTCCACAGGTGAGTTCCCCAACTGGCGAACTCTGTATGGAGCTCCTCCAGCACTGTCGGCAGTCAGATGTAGCGGAGACGTCCGATGCTAGGCCTAGCCCTCGTGAGTATGCCCAGTTGGTCAGCCTCTGTGCTAGGCTAGGTGCCCATTATGTTGTGATTCCTACGGTGATTCCATATGAGTATTCTTTCACGGTTTGGCTTCCCTGTCGGCAAGCCCAGTGTCTTTCCCTGGCAGAGCCCACTCTTGCCGTCTCTCCTGGTATTGTCTTCCCCTTAATTAGGCTGGAGCTACCCCAGAGACCTTCCAGATGTGTGACTGCCCTGTTGTCCAGTTCATATATGTAATCCCCACATGATACCTCCCTGCTGACAGGATGGGGTCTCCTTAGCATCCCTTTCCATACGCGTCCCTAGTGTTATCCAATAGTCTCACTGAGTGGGTCAGAAGGAACAGCAGTGATTGACCTTCTCTGTGTAAGGCCCTTAAAGGGACATCCCTTTTGTGTCAAACAGTGACCCCTAGAGTCGCTGTGGAGTACTTGCAGAGCGTGACTTGTTACATAGTATACAATAGTACATTGTGTTTAATTTGTCGTTTAATGAGATCTAATATATGTTGTGAGTGGTGTGAATTTTCACATGATTAAAAACATAGATCTGTCAATTATCCCCATGAACTTTAATGGTCCAGTGGCATAACTTTTACCAAGTGTGTCAGAGGTTCTGGGTTCTAATCCTTTCTAGTTGTATAGTTTATTTTCCTCTTTAAAACCGATTGTTTATTGGTGATTTTATATCAAGCAGGGACATGTTTTTTGTGCATTAGGTTTGGTGATTTCACCATAACAAATATAGAGAGTCTCTCAGTCCCCACAACGGATTGAAGCGCGTCAGTGTGAAGACTGTAGACTGTGTGAACACTGTATCCGCACCACTGATCACAGCGGCAAGCACTTTGGTCTCTTGATTTCAAAAACAACACATTTCAGATTGCCTCTTATTTAACAAACAAACAAAATTAATGCTCTACTAGAGTTAACTGGAGATGTTTTATTTGTCTGTATTGGTACATCCGTATCAATTCGTATCAGCAAGATGTTTCAATAGAGACATATCACACGCAAATTACGCCTATGCTCGCGTCTGACTCCTTGCTCGGTCAGTCTGCCGTTTCCTCACCCGAAAGAAGTCATATAACCATTTCAATAACTCTGAAGCTGTTCAGTTAAGCTAAAAAAAGCATATAGAATCCCTTTAAGGTTACTATTGTAACCCCCGTTCCCACAGACCGACCGAGCCCACACTGTACCGAGTTTGGTGAAATTATCTCATTCCTTTCAAGAGAGACAAAAAAAAAACATTGACAATCAGACTCCAGAGAATCTTTCAGCACTGGTTTGGTTCTAATCAGCCGAAAAACCTTGGACTAGTTCGCAAAAGTATTTTTTGGGGGAATTTTCCGAAATACCCGTCAAAGCCGAAATGTACTCTTTTTTTGTCTTGAACCAAGGATTCCAACGATATAAGGCACTTGAGCCTGCGACGAACGTTTTAGTTTCGTATCGCTGTAGCGCCATCATGAACATGCCATCAGGCCAATATAGGGGCGAGCTTTGTTGATGTTGTAGACAGGTGGGTACTATCATCCCTCAAAGTTTCAAGTCTCTACGACTTACGGTTTGGTCTGCCCTATCACTTTTTGGGGAGAATGCTGATACTTGGAAATTCTAACAATAACAATAGGATCTCAGCGCAATGTGCTTGAACCCCTAATTAAACAAAACTGATTTGAATTTGACTAAATTTTAAACACATTTCCAGCAATGTAGAATGTGGACTGGGGTGCACCACTAAATACAGTTTTGCAATATTTCTGAACAAAATACAGAATAAGAGAGGATTCCCTGACATTTGTACATCTAGACCAGAGCTGACGTAAATCAGTTTGAATGTCATTTACAGCAAAATCAATAACACTGAAGGATAACAGCCCACAAATAAGTTATGGTTTGCCCAGGATAATGTATGCATGATCAATTCAAAGCAAATGATTTACCTTTTTGTGTGATTTAAGGCATCTAGTCACACAAGAACTCAGGGTGAATCAGAGAGGGGTGGGTGCCATTTAGGGGTAATTGTTCCATGGAAAACATTTTATGAAGAATACTTGAGTGTTATGGCATGTTTACTGTTACCAATGGCAACCAAAGTGGATCACAATAATAGGAGGTTTACATGTTTTGTTGTTGTTTTAAATAAAACCATAAACAAAAAACATAAATTACCTTTTGTAATTTGTAAATTACATTTATTTTGAAGATAAGGAAGTTACTTTTACATTAACAGGGTGTCAAAAATTATTACAATCCCATTTTCATTCGACTTGAAAACAAATATGACAAAAAACTCACCATGTTAAATGTAAAAATACTGTCGTGTACCTTATCAACACTCTTTCATATATATAAGGCATTGATTTGTTGTTAAACATAATTCTACAGCGGAAAAAAAAAATGTTAGTAACACATTAGTTAATGTTGAAATAGTGTACACTTTACAATAAGGTTTATAAATTACATTAATAAATACTTTATTAATGGTAAGTCATGCCAATAAAGAGTCAACAAATGTTAGTAACACTTATTTGAATGCAAGTAATGATAGTAAAGTGCGTTTAAACATGAACAACATATTTTGTCCTGCCGTATAATTTATCAACAAATCAATGCCTTATATATATATATATATATATATATATATATAGATATGAAAGAATGTTGATAAGGTACTGCTACATAAACTAAAGTAAATATGTGCAGTAACCTTACAATTGCTATTTATAGGCACTGTTCATGGTTAGTTCATGTAAACTAATGCATTAACTAATGTTAACTAATTGTGCTGTTAATGTGATTGATGCATTAGTACATGTGTGAGTTAACGTTAACAAATAATGTTAACTAATGCTGAACAGAGATGTTGTTCATGATTAACTAATGTATGAACCAATGTTAACTGATGGAACCTTATTGTAAAGTGTTACCCACATTCTATGTGGAGTGACTCAGATGACCAACTT